GCGGGATCGGGCAGTGTTTCGTTCTGCTGTGCATGGGGTCGCTATGAGTCGGAAATGACTCGACGGCACTTAACAACAACAACAACAACAACAACCTCCTGTCTTAGTGTGATTATAACTCACTGGGCTCACCATCATTCAGCAAACCAGTTTATAAGTGAGGGCCACTTCCTTATGAAGCTAGAAGACAGCATCTATTTTTCAGTAACTAGGTGGCCTTAGAGAGTATCTCTAATAGGTTTCCAACTAAGAGGTGCTATCACCCTGCAGGTACAAAATGAAGCCAAGACGCCCTTGAAGAAGTTCTTGTTAAACCTGGCTATTGCCTGTAAATTCAATGAAGTGAAAAAGGGCATCATAAGGAAGGACAGTATCTGGGACAAACTCATCTTTGCAAAGATTCAGGTAGGTTGGCTGGGCGCTGACCAGGGAGAACCAAATGTCTAGGCTCCCAACTGCCCCAGCATGCCTTCCTTTTCCTCGGATGGTTGAGTCTCTCTCTACCTGAAGATTCTTTTTTTTTTTTTTTTTTAATTGTGATTTGGGTGAAGATTTACAGAGCAAATTCACTCTCCATACAGCGGTTCACATATACTTTGTCTCATGACATCGACCACAGTTTACCATAATGCAACAGCTCCCCTCCCACCTCCTCCCCACAGTTACCTCTTCCCAGTGTCCATCCCTCCATGGGCTCCTGCCCCCTGAGCTGTCTCCCTGTGCATAAGCAACCCTTCTTTCTCTCATGATTGTTCTCTCCAAGGAGTGTATCTACCTGTGGTAAATGTTCAACTCACATGCCTGTCCCCTGTTTGGCTGGAAACCACAAGTGTGGGTTCAATTCCAGACCTGAAGGGCAGCTAGGGGCCATAGTCTCAGTGGTTCCACCAGGCTCTATTGGACCAGCAAACCTGGTCTCCCCCTTTTTTTCCTCCAATTATTTTGAGTTTTGTTCCACATTGTTCTCCCTCTCTATCAAGGATCTCCTACATAAATCCCCTTTCAAGTGGATGACAATGGTAGCAGCCGGGCACCATCTAGTTCTTCTAGTCTCATAGTAGTGCAGGCTGCACATCAGATGGTGTACCAGTCGCTAGGACTAATTCTTTCCATGAATTTTGGTTTTCTTCATTCTTCTTTGTTCTGAATAAGGAGAGACCCACTGTTGCATCTAGATGGCAGCTTGCTAGCTTTTAAGATCCCAGTTGCTACTCACCAAGGTAGGAGGTGGAACAATGTTTTGTGTAGTATGTTGTGCCAATTGAGCTTGATGTCCCCTGCGACTATGGTCCCAAGCCCACAGGATCAACTGCTCGGTCTCTCTGGGTAGCTGGCTGTGACCAAGCAGTGACCACAACCTTGCCCTTTGTCAGCTCTACTATACACCTGGGAATTCTGATCATTCATATAAACTTATAGGACCATTGTCTGCCAACCCTATATATGTACTTGGATACACTCCCCATTTCATAGACATACCTAATCGTTCAGCCTGTCCACCCATCTATCCATCCATATACCCATGTTTGCCTTCCTTGACAACACACTGGAGATTCTTTTAGACTTTCTGTGTCCACTCAGCTGTCTAAGATCCCACTTAGACAACTTTGCCACTAAAGGAACTTTGTCAAAAAGCAAACAAAACAAAAAAAAACCACTATTTTATTTCAGTTCCAGCACTATGTTTTATTCCTTTAGGTAGTTGGCTTCAAATGACTCCCCATGGGGATTATAAGTAACTTGAGGGGGCTGAGAATACAAATCATTTGAGGAACTTGTTTTTTAAAAAATGCTGGTTCCACTTCTGAGACTATGGCCCTTAGTTGCCCTTTAGGTCTGGAATTGAACACACACCTGTGGCTTCCAGCCAAACAATAGACAGGCATACTAGTTGAGCATTTACCTGAGGTAGATACACTCTTTGGAGAGAACAAACATGAGAGAAAGAAGGGCAGCTCAGGCACAGGGAGACAGCTCAGGGGGTAGGAGTGCATGGAGGGATGGACACTGGGAAGAGGTAACTACTGGGAGGAAGTGGGAGGAGAGATGTTGCATTGTGGTAAATTGTGGTCAATGTCATGAGGCAAAGCGCATGTGATCTGCTGTATGGAAAGTGTATTTGCTCTGTAAATTTTCACCCAAATCACAATAAAAATTAAAAAAAAAAAAAAATGCTGGTTCCAGCCCCAGGTATGGTGATGACAGTAATAGTTTGAGGAGTGGCTGGTGGGTTTGAACCGTCGGCCTTCTGCTTAGCAGTCAAATGCCTTAGGCACTACACCACCAGAGGTCCCATTCTATAATATCAGTCCCTTTTCTAAGTACTTTATGAATTAACTAATGCAATTCTTGGAACAATCCTGGGCTAGGCTACTTTTTCAGAGAGACTGGGTGTTAGCAGGTCTTTTGTGTCTATGAACAGGAGAGCCTGGGCGGGAAGGTGCGCATCATGGTCACCGGAGCTGCCCCCATCTCCTCTCCCATCTTGACTTTCCTCCGGGCAGCAATGGGATGTCCGGTAAGCCAAGCACCTTCTTTGAAGATACTTCATTTCACTTTTGCACAAGTAAAGGTCATTGTTTAAATAAAAATCAGAACACAGCTGAAAATTATCAAAGATGAAGTCACCCAAAATCTCAGAATCAAGAGAAAACGTTCTTCTAGTCACCTCTTATGTATCTGAGTATAGAAACATTTACACAGGTTCCCAGAATCTTGTGGAGTTGTTCTACTCTGCACACCTTGGGTCACCATGAGTCAGATCAACTCTATGGCAACCAAATAATAAATCTGGTTGGACTCTTAAGTTGCTTCCCATTTTTTCACTGTTAAAATCAATTAAGTGATAAGGTTACATGTGTATCTTTCAGAATTTATACATTATCACTTCAGGATAAATGCCTGCAAGCAGGGGTTATTAGGTCAAAGTAGATATTTTTTGTTTGTTTTTCACATGTTGATGTATATTATCAAACTCACTTCCAGAAAAATCTTGTCATTTTTTTATATGTGCCTGCAAATACTGCTTAAGGCGTTTGTGATAGACTTTGCCAGTCGTTTAAATGCTGCCAATCAGATATGTGATAAATGATATTGCAGTTTTGTTTATTTTATAAACACAAGTATCTTTTGGCACTTGTATTTCTTTCATGAATTACATTTTTTTTCCTTATAGAAAAATGGGCAAAAGATAATTTGATTCTTTCTCATATCATTTTCTAAGTGTTCATGTGGTAATAACAACAATGCGTTAGAAATATTTTTCTAATCTCATATTTTTGCCTTGTGTATTATTATATAAAAGCTTCAAATCTCTATGTAGTCAAGTTTATTCATCCTTTCTATTTATGAATTATTAATTGCTTAGACAGGACTTCCCAACTACTAATATTTCATAAGTCAATTTTTGCACACATTTTCTGGTAAGCTTGTGGTTCTGCATTTTGTCACAAGTCTCTGCTACGTCTGGAATTCAGGGCTTGAGTGTGGACTCTGCCCTTTTTTTTCTTTTTCCTTCTTCCAAATGGCTAACTAGTTTGTTCATTTGACCACCTGTATCCAGCATGAACAAAACAGACACACACTTGTCCTCATGAAAATGTTCCCATCTTATAACAACAATCAAAAAGGATTCTGAATTGACCTCAATTCACTCTTCCAAACTATCACCCCCTTGGCCACTCTCAATGCTTTCCTTTCCCTCCCACCTTAATCCAGTAGATTAGGAGGTTCTGTTTCCACCCCTTACTTCAGAATCATCTGCACTGAACTTTCCTCTCATTCTTTACCAATTTGGCCTGTCACAGGCCACAGCCAACAACTTCAGTAGCCTGTGAACTTGTTTCTTGCCCCCAGCCTCTCTCTGGTCAAAATTATCTTTTATACCAGTAGCTGGCAAACTGTGTTGTTGTGTTGTTATGTGCTGTCCAGTCAGACTCGACTCATAGTGACCCTTCCTTTGGGTTTCTGAGGCAGTGTCAGTATGGAAATAGATTGTCCCATCTTCCTTCCGAGGAGTGGCTGGTGGGTTTGAACCGCCAACCTTCTGGTTAGCAGTCAAGTGCCTTAGGCACTACGCTACCAGGGCTCTTAATCTGGCCTGCCACCTATTTTTAGAAATAAAATTGTATTGGCATATAGCCATAGCTGTTTGTGGTTGCTTTCATGCTACCATGCAAAGTTAAGTTGCTCAGACAGAAGCCAGATGGCTTACCAAGCTGAAAAATATTTACTATGTGGCCTTATACAAAAAAATATGCTGCCCTCTGCTCTATTCCACAGTTGCAGATATTGCCTGTTTTAATAAATAAACAAATAAATAAAAATACTACTTCCTTTCTTAAATCTCTTCATTGCTGAGATTAAAGCCCAATTGTCATTGGGTTTCACACCACTTAATGAATAACCCATATTTTCATATAAGTTTCTATACTTTGGTTTATTTATGACTCTTTTGAATTTTGAGTGAATGCCTAGTTATAAAGACTTAGCAACTTGGCATGAATTCAAGGTATTAGGACACTATGTGTCCTCTAACCCTCAGAAACCTTGCCTTCCTTGTGTCTTGGTCATAGAGTATGACCAATTAGTGCTTTATCTTGAGTATGACCCAAAGCCCTTCTTTGGTTTCTCCAGGTCTTTGAAGCTTATGGTCAAACTGAATGCACAGCTGGCTGTACCTTTACATCACCTGGGGACTGGACCTCAGGTAGGTCTTCCATATACTGAACAGGGGGTGCAGTGGTTGGGAGCAGGTTATAACTGAACATGAAAATATGAATCTAGATGGCCAGAATGCTCTCGATGAGCATAGCAAATGTCAGACTTGAGTTTTTGGTCCAGGCCTATGCATCTTGATGATCCCAGCACTGGTGCCAGGTGAGTTTTCAATCTATTCTCTTGGAGTCAGTCCATAAATATCTCAGAAGCATGCTTCCAATATCATCATTTGATGGTCACCCGGTTCATTCATTGTGGTGTTTTCTAGGTCATGTCGGAGCTCCCCTGGCTTGCAATCATGTGAAGCTGGAAGATGTTGCTGACATGAACTACTTTTCAGTGAACAGTGAAGGAGAGGTGGGTAGGTTGTGCTTTGTAGTCATGTCCAGACAACCATGGTGGGAATGTTAACAGCAGAAGGAGTACACTATTGTGAGCAGGCTTGGACTTCACTCCTTTGAGATCTCCAGCAAGGAATTAAACATCTCTGAGCTTCACTTTCTTGTCCCCTAAAATGGGACTAAAATCTCTCACACTGTAATGAAGACCAAAGAATGATTTAAGATGGAAGCTAGTGCTCATGCTGGGAGTAATAGTCTTTGCTATTGTCTCCACCTTGTACTGTCTGGTATGCAGATCTGCATCCGAGGCACCAACGTGTTCAGAGGATACCTGAAGGAACCTGAGAAGACAAAAGAAGCCCTGGACAAGGATGGCTGGCTTCACACAGGAGATATTGGCCGCTGGCTCCCAGTGGGTATTTAACCATCTTTTTATAGCAAGAAGGGCAGAAAAGTAAATAGGTTGATCATCTGAGGTAGCTGGGTGATTAAGCCTATGTCCTACCTGGTGTATGGCTTCCTCATACTATACAGAGAAGAACATACCATTGAAGAAGCTAGGCTGGGAGTTGGGAGATGTATGTTGTAGTCCCAGCTGTTCCACGGACAAACAACGTTGTTGTTGTTGTTGTGTACCATCGAGTCACACCTGACTCATAGTGACCCCTCCTTGGGTTTCTGAGGCAGTATCACTACGGAAGTAGGATTGCCCAACCTTCCTTCTGAGGAGTGGCTGGTGGGTTTGAACCGCCAGCCTTCTGGTTAGCAGTCAAGTGCCTTAGCCACTATGCTACCAGAGCTCCCGGACAAACAACGTAATTCTGGGAAAATAACAATGTGTGATTGAGATCTGCTCAGACTAGAGAGGCTCCCTGTCTCTAACCAAGAGAGTCTTTTTGCTATTTGGTCACTATGTTATAGAAGACAAGACATGAGCCAGTTGAAGTGTTTTCTTCTTATATTTATTCCCCAGAAAATATAATTCCAGCAGTACACAATGTTATTAGCACTGTTTTCAGAGCCAAACTGAAGGTAGGATCCTTTACTAAGTCGGAAAGTCGTGGCGCCAGGAGCAGATTACCCAAAAAGCAAGGCAAGCATGAACTTACCTGTGCTTACTTACTAATCTGTAGTGAACAATTAATTTCACATGAGTTTCACCACATCAGAGCTGTGGTGAAAAACATGTGAATATGTTAAACACAAGTAACCCTGTGCTTACCTTGTTTACTGGATACTCCATCCCTTTCAGGGATTATAAATTTGAAAAGGAGCTTTGATTCTATAGGAAGGTGCTGTGGGGTTGGGAGAGAGGCAGGTGCTAGCCATACCTAGAAGCAGAATCTTTGATGTGGTAAAAAAAATATGGAATTGTTCACTACAGATTAGTAAGTAAGCACAAACCCATGCTTACATTACTTATTGGGAATCCAACACTACCTGGAGCTCAGAGTTGGCATGGCTCTCTTAACAATGCAATAGATTTGCTCATAGCCAAGTGAAACTAGGTGATCATTCTAGGAAAAGGAGCACTGGTGGCACAGTGGTTAAAGTGTTCTGCTGCTATCCAAAAGGATAGTGTTTTGAGCCCACCAGCTACTCCATGGAGGAAAGATGTGGCAGTCTGCTCCTGTAAAGATTTACAGCCTTGGAAACCCTATGGGGCCATTCTACTCTGTCCTATAGGGTCACTATGAGTTGAAATAGACTCAGTGACAGTGAGTTTGGTTTGGTATGGTCTACGGGACATGGAGACATGGGCTGTACCATTCTGTTCTTCTTGTTTTTCTTATTTTTCTTGAGGCAGATATTGTGTTTTAATAACTTCATGAACCCACAACTATCTCCTTTTATGGGATTCAGAGGAATAAGTTTTTTCCTGATTAATTTATAGAGACATATCAAGCAAGTCGGCAGGATTTCTAAAAGAGGTGTTTGCAGAGGCTTGAGTTTGCCTCTCAGGAACCTTCCCAGACACTCTCTATAGAAGAAAAAATAAAACATTTTTAGCATAGGTTGCTGATAAACAATTAGCAATGGTCCCACCTGTTTTTCTAAGAAGAGAGGACATGGACATAATTTCATGGTAGTGATGGAGTCTTAGGATCCCTGATGGGGATTTTTCAAAACTCTCCCTCGAGGAAAGTTTTCTTTGTCTACTGTGTGCTGGGGGAGCAGGGATGTAACTAGCTCTTCAAACTCCTTTCTTGCTCAATACTCCTAAAGTTTAAGAGACATTCATGGAAATCTTTTTTCTTGTGAAACCTCCAAGAACGTTGTTTCTAATGATAAATTTCATAGATTTGGGTCCAGTGATACTTCAGTAAGATATGTTCTGCATGGGAATTGCCTGCTTTAGTAGGCCTATGATGTAGGCAATAGATGACAGTGAGTTGTAAAAGGCTGAGCTTATTATCACCTTCAGATAATTCTTGTAGGCTGAACTGAGGGCTAATTTCTTGAGTCAGCTTTGCTGATTATTCCAGAGTGTTTCAGCCTGTTGTCCTACTTAGCATGCAATCATGTGGGTTGCATTTGCCACCTGTCCCAATCCTACAATTCAAATCCCTAAGAACCTTAACTTCTCAGGCCAATTAGCTTAGAGAAATGAAGCTGTAAATGACCTCTGGTGTGTGGTCAGGGAGCCCTTCCCAGACTGGCTTCTTCCTAACAAGCACAATTGTTGACTTGCCTGATTAGCACAGTGAAGCTGTGTTAGCGTGCTCCCCGCTCTAAACAGAAGGAATATGTGAAAGGAAGTCAAGGAGGGGAGATCTAACCCATTCAAAAGTCTCTACAAAAGATAGCCAGTCTTTCTATTCCTGAGAGTCCTGCAGATGGAGCAATTGAAAATTAAGTTACTGGAAACTGAAAGCTGCAGGATTTCTTGCTTGGATGCGGCAACCCTGTGCAGAACCCCAGCAGGTCCTAGGAACTTTCTCTGAGGCCGCACATTGACTCTCCACATAGATATACAGTATAGACAGGTTCTTGCTACAAGCTGCTTCCCTCCCCTTCCCCAAAGCCAAGAAAGAGGAAAAAATGACTGAAAGTCTCTAGAGAAATCAAGTTGAAAGCAGGAAGATACCTGTGACCTCCCCACCCTCCCCAAGCACTGACACTTTTATTTGTACCATACAGAATGGGACTCTGAAGATCATTGACCGAAAAAAGAACATTTTTAAGCTGGCCCAAGGAGAATACATTGCTCCAGAGAAGATAGAAAATATCTACATCAGGAGTAGACCAGTGTCACAAATTTTTGTCCATGGAGAAAGCTTACGGGTAACATATCATTGTAACTGTAGCCATTTTCAGAAGCACACCAGGCTGATTCCTGTATAAGGTGGGTTCAGGAAGAGAAGAACTGAACTTACTAAAATTAAAGAAATGAAACTGCATTCCAAACCTCAAATAAGACAATATAAATGAAACAAACAAACAAAAATTCCCCCCAAACTATGATGCTATTGTTAGGTGTCATCAAGTCAGTTTCCACTCACAGTGACCCTATGTACAGCACAAAACAGGCCTGCACCAACCTCACAATCACTGCTATGCTGAGCCCATGTTGCAGCCACTATGAGAGACTCTGCAAACAAATCAGTAGAATTATCAAACAGCTATTCTAAAGGGTAGTTACTCATTATAAAAGAACCCAGTGTTGTACTTACTTTCCACTTCAACAGCAGTTCCTCTGGCACAACAAACAGTTTTTCTATTACATTGTTGTTACTAGTTGTCACTGAGTCTTCTCCTACTCATGACCCTACATACATCAGAACAAAACATTGTCCAGTCCCGTGCCATCTCCATGATCATTGGTATGTTTGAGTCCATTGTTTTGCTTTTGCTATGTCCCAAAGATTTTGGTATGTTGTCTTTTCATTCTTGTTTGACTCAAGGAATTTTTTAATTTCATTTTTTTATTTCTTCTGTTACCCAGTCGTTATTAAGGAGGGTGTTGTTCATTTTCCATGTGTTTTCTCTTTTTCTGTTGATCTTCCTATTTCATAGCATTGTGATCTGAGAAGATGCTTTGCAGTATTTCGATGTTTTTAAATTTATTGAGGCTTGCTTTATGGCCTAACATATGGTCTATCCTGGAGAATGTTCCATGCACACTGGAAAAGAATGTATATTGTGCTGTTGTTGGATGAAGTGCTCTGTAAATATCTATAAGGTCAAGTTGGTGGATTGTATTGTTCAGTTCTTCTTGTTTGTTGAGTTTCTTTCCAGTTGTTCTATTTTTCTTTGATAGTGGGGGTATTAAAAGTCTCCTACTATGACTGTGGAGTCACCTATTTGTCTTTTTAATTCTGTTAAAATCTGATTTGTGTATTTTGGGGCTCTTTCATTGGGTCCATAGATATTAATTATGGTTATGTCTTCTTGTTTGATTGATCTTTTAATCATTATATAATGTCCTTCCTTGTCTCTTATGGTGGTTTTTGTCTTAAAGTCAATTTTACCAGAAATTAATATTAACACTCCTGCTCTTTTTTGGTTGCTATTTGCTTGATATATCTTTTTCCAACCTTTAATTTTGTCATTCTCTAAGGTACATCTCGGGAGCTCTGGTAGCATAGTGGCTAAGGCACTTGACTGCTAACCAGAAGGCTGGCAGTTCAAACCCACCAGCCACTCCTCGGAAGGAAGGTTGGGCAATCCTACTTCCGTAGTGATACTGCCTCGGAAACCCAAGGAGGGGTCGCTATGAGTCGGGTCTGACTCGACGGCACATAACAACAACAACAACAAGATACATCTCTTGCTGACAGCATATTGATGGGTTATGTTTTCTTATCCAGTCTACAACTCTCCATCTCTTGAGTGGTGCATTTAATCCATTGACATTCAGTGTAATTATTGACAAGTATGAATTGGTTGCTGTCATTTTGATAGTTTTTTCATGGTGTTCCTGGTTTCTTTGTTCCATATAATTTTCTGTGCTGAGCTCATTTAGTCTATGAATTATGTTATCATTTCCTTTGTTGTTGTTTAGTATTTGCTAAATATTTGTTCTTGTCCTCTTTTTTATTGTGATGTGAAGGTTTATCATTTTTCTTTGAGGTTATCCTGTGATTTATAATTTTTTTCCAAAGTTTAGAACAGTCCATTCTATCTTGCAACTGTCTTGACTTCCTCACCATTTAGAAGTTCTGTAACTACACTTCTTTCCCTGTTTTTGGTTTGTAGTTGTCCTCATTTGCCAATTGATGTCTTTGGTTCCCTGTTTACAATCTTGTAGGCTTATTTTACTTTGGATGTGTCCATCACTGTGTTTTCTGGGTTAGGTCATTATGTATATTAACGATCAGTTGTTGTTTGCTATTATTGATTCTCTATTCAAAGGACTCCCTTTAGAATCTCTTGCAAGGTTGGTCTGGTTTTAACAAATTCCCTTAATTTCTGCTTACCTGGAATTCTCCTAACTTCACCATCATATTTGAGGGATAATTTTACCCAGTATATAATTCTTGGTTAGAAATTTTTGTCTTTCAGGGTTTTATATATACCATCCCATTGCCTTCTTGCCTGCATGGTTTCTGCTCAGATATCAGAGCTTAGTCTTATTGGTTGGCCTTTGTAGGTAACTTTTCATTTTTCCCATGCTGCTTTCAGGATTATTTCTTTGTCATTGGTTTTGGTGAATTTGATGATGATATGTCTTGGTGATTTTCTTTTGCGGTCTATCTTGTTTGGGGTTTGTTGGACTTCTTGAATTGATATATTCTCATCTTTCATCATGGAAGTTCTCTTCCAATAACTCTTGGACAGTTTTCTCAGTGGTTTTATTTTTCACTTCCTGTTCTGGAATTCCAATTACACGTAGGTTATTCCTTTTGATGGTATCCTATATGAACTTTAGGCTTTCTTCATTTTGTTTTGATCTTTTTTCTGACTGATCCCTTTCCAAAGAAGTATTCAAGTATTTGTCTTCAATCTCATTAATTCTGTCTTCCATCGATTCAATTCTACTCCCTTGCCCTTTTAATGTGTCATCTGTTTCTGAAAATTTAGTATTAATCTTCTAGATTTTTATCTGTAGATTTTGTATCATTTCTAATTTTTCATTTATTTTGTCATTTTATTCTTGTATTTTCTTCCAAAATTATTCTAGAGTTTTGTCTATGTTTTCCTTAATTTTGTCAGTGTTTTCCTTGATCTGTCTCTCAGTCTGCTGAAGGCAACTAAATATAATTCTTTTGAATTCCTTATTAGGGAGTTCCAATGTTGCTTCTTCCTCAAGGATGTGTTCTGGGTCTGTATCCTGGTTCCTTGTTTCTGTTTTATCTTGCTTCTTTGTGTGGGCCGTGATTTTCTGTTGTCTCTGAGACATTTAAACATTGTTGTATTTATATTTAATTGGTGATTGTATGTTCGAGTGATTCACCCAAGATTTTAATTTTTTTCTTTTTTGGATGTATGTGAGTAAACAGGGTATTGTGCTCCTCTATTTGCTAGCTGACAGCACTTATGACCTCACCACCTGTCTCCTAGTAGGTGTGATAGTGAATGAGAGTGGCTGCACAGGTGTCTATTAACTGCTTGTGAAGAGCAGTTAGTTAAGAGTGAGACAGGCTGTTATTTGTGGTCATGTCTCACTGGCCAGTTGGTGCAGAAGGAAGTGGTGGCTCTTATTCAGTAAGTGGAGCTGTAGAAGGTGTGGGTGTGGTTGGATCATATGGGTGCAGTTGCTGTCTCCCACTCAGACAAAAACAACAATAAGAAAACCATCAAAAAAAAGTAAACACAAGAGGACAAAAAACACCCACTGCATGAACACATAGGAACAATCACCAACAAGAGAAAAAAGAAAGAAAAAAAAAAGAAGGCAATACATGAGTGAAAAAATTTAAAGAAATACTTTAAAAAGCCAAAAGAAATATGAATAGAAAAAAAAGGGGGGGACTGCAATATCTGGGGAGGAGGGAATAAGAGAAATGAAGTAGAGTAGGAGAATAATGAAGAAAAAAATGGGAAAAACACAAAAAGAAAAACAAGGAATGGGGAGAACCACAAGAAAGAAAAATATGGCAACCAGGAAAAGGGAAGACACAAAAAGCCAAAAACTAGAACCTGGGAAGGGAAAAAGAAAGAATAGTAATAAAAAGGACAAAAAAAGAAAAAAAATAATAGTAATAATAATTAATCTGAGTAGGGCAGGACAGGGTACCCAGGCTCCATCTGAGCACACAGACTGGGATAGAATTCCTGCCAGCCCAGAAGGTGAGTGGGAGTGAGGGATGGCTGCACCTCCTTTTACCAAGAGGGTGTGGGGTATAAAAGTAACAAGGGGACTGTCACACCTTTCCAGTCGTTGGCATGTGGAATGTCCTTGTGGTTCCCAGCAAGTGGTCCCTATTCTTAAGTCCCTAGAATCTGAGAGAATGCTGTTGCTTTAAATATCCAAAATGATCCAACCACTTGTAAACATTCAAAATGGCTTCATCCTCCAGACAGCCAAAAATCCATGGCTCAGCCCATCTCCCTCTTCACTGCTTCCCTTTTTATTCACCAGCCACCAGTGCAGTCCTCTGTGCAACCCCTGGCTAGCAGACCTGATTTTTAGGCTAATTCTTAGGTCCTAACACTGCTTGGCAATATCCAAGCTGTCCGTGCTGACAAGATCACTAATAGTCCACAGCTCCACATCTTCTTTTTTGGTGTTTTCATGCAGATTATTCTACTAGTTAGAGTTTAGTCCACTTCTGTACCTGTCCTTTCAAAGCTCAGGGCTCCAGGATTATCTTCTGTATCTGTGTTAACTGGTTCCTCTTCTCTTTGTTGAAGAGGGTCTGTGTGTCTTTCTGTCTAGTCCACCATCTTACTGGACAGCCTATATCTGAGTCCATTTTTATGTCAATTGTGTCAATCCATCTCATCGAGGGTTTCCCTCATCTTCTCTCACCCTCTGCTTTACCAAACATGTTTGTATCATATACTAATTATATACTGAGCATATTATATGCTGAGTATTATTATATATATTCAATATTGAACTTAAATTTAGCTATTTTTGGAGGAGGATGGACAGACCAGAGATCCTTTAGTTAAAGGTTGGGCATCTTTTGAACCACATTCCAACAAAATATCTTTATAATGAGATGGTCATTGGGGATAATGGGATGAGAGTTCTTGGTGGCAGGGGTGGTGGTGGTGGTGGTGGTGGTGATGGTGGTTTAACTACATGGTGACAAGAGGACACAGTTTGTACTGAGTTTGAGGTCTTGGGGAATTATCTATTACAAAAGTCTCATCCCACTTTCCTTATCCCTGGGGTCGTCCCTATGCAAGCTCTTTCATGTGTCCTTGTACCTTCTGTTTCCTTTCCACAGTCATCCTTAGTAGGAATTGTGGTTCCCGACCCAGATGTGTTTCCCTCATTTGCAGCCAAACTTGGGATTAAGGGCTCCCTTGAAGAATTGTGCCAAAACGAAGTAAGTCTTATAAAGCTTTCTGCATCGCCCTCACCCTAAGCCCACTGTGGGAGAGGGGTGACCCCAACCAGCTGGCACTCATGGATCTCCAGGGCCCTCTGTCTGCAGGAGTCGCGTCTTCTTGCATCTGGGGCACATGGCTGCAGCCCAAATGGATTCACTAGCTCTATTAGACTGGGGGATAGGATCGAAAAAAAAAAAAAAAACCAAACTCACTGCCGTCAAGCAGATTCGATTCATAGTGATCCCTTCCCTTGGGTTTTTGAGGTATTATCTCTACAGTAGGTTGTCCAATCTTCCTTCTGGGAGTGATTGGTGGGTTTGAACTGCCAGCCTTCTGGTTAGCAGTCAAATGCCTTAGGCACTATGCCACCAGAGCTCCTTCCTGGGAGATAGGATATAGGATTTAAAAAAATAACTTTGGTCTTTTTATAGTAATGTTCATTGTAAAAAATAAATAAATTAGAAAATAATAGAATTAAAAATGCCATCCAATCCATTACCATTTAGATTTGCTGTTTCTTCTCATTTTCTGGATCACTATTCGGCTTCTAATGTGCCTGTATGTACTTTCACATCCAGCTTTTCATATGAACTTTTCTAGACATTTTGAGTTGGGTCATGCCTAGCCTTTCAATCAGGCTCCTTTTCACTGTTTTGTATCCATAGATAGTGAAGGAAGCTGTTTTAGAAGACTTGCAGAAAACTGGGAAAGAAGGTGGCCTTAAATCCTTCGAACAAGTATGTACTGATGTGGTCCTGGTCTCTAAGTCATACTAGAAGTTTTAAGGTATAAGTCTGTACTTTGAATGGAGTTGATTTTAGATTTTGTACCACTAACCAATGGGACAATTGCAGTGACTTTCTGTAGTTATTTGTATCCCTTTATGGTCTTTATTATTCACTCTCCTTACTCATTTCTTCCCCAAATTCAAGTGGGTGAGGATGGACATGTGTCATTGTTACTACCCTCCCACTCCTTCAGCCCCACTTCTAAAATGTTAATATTCTCTAACTGAAGTTCTTCCCATAGCACTCTGAGGTCACTGCAGGAAAGTCCAAATCACCACTAACCATGGTGTGTGACCATCTTCTCTTCCAGGTCAAGAAAATCTTTCTTCATTCAGAACCATTTTCCATTGAAAATGGACTCTTGACACCAACATTGAAAGCAAAGCGGGGAGAACTTTCCAAATACTTCCGAGTGCAGATCAATAGCCTGTATGAGACCATCCAGGAGTAGATTAAGGTATTTATAGCCGGAAGGGGCTCAGAGGCTGCTTGCCTGCCTTGTGGGGATATGGCTTAAAAAAGTACTTTCATTTTTTTGTCTTTTGCCCTATCTGTTGTTTTTATTTGTTACACTATGAAACCATGTTTGACGTTTTTAATGTTAAGTGAGAGACTTATAATGTAGAAACTTAGCCTGAATTAAATAACTCCTGCCTCTCAGTTTACATTTTGCTGGTATTAAGGATTCAGGGTTACTTTTATCAACCTGCCTCTCTTCCAGGTCCCTTTTTGTATTCATGTCCCTTCCTCACCATCTCCAACCAATGCAGTTTATGTGACCACTACTTAAAGGCCAAAGAGACCCTTCTGTGACTTCTTCCTTGTTTTGCAGTACACTTGCCAATAGTCCCAATGTTTAGGTCTTGTAATGCTCAAAGTAGGAGACCCTGACGTTCTGGAAAGCTGTTTATGATTCATAGGATTTCTTGCTACTCTACAAAACCACCAAGATTTTGAGTCTTAACAATGAATCCCGACAAATTTCTTCTGTGTACACTAAAGTCTGCATACAGAGGGGGAACATTTTGAGCATACTGAACATTGCTTAAATTTACTAGTTTCTCTAACTTGGAAATATTGAAAATTGGGCCTATGACTTTTTGTCCAAAAAAGAATGATTACATTTGAAAACGTTCTTCTTAAAGTGTTATCTTCAGTCACGCCTGGTGACTCAATCTGTTCCTTACAGTTTGCTGCAGAGCTGGAAGCTATGGGGAAAGAGTTTATACCAAGTGCACTTTTCCAGTGAATGAAACAAGCACTGACTCTCAACTTCCTGAACTGGGAACAAAAACCTGGGAGCAAGCATGGCGCCTGCACAACAGGCTTCTCTTCTGTGAAGGAACCAATTGATCTGAGCTACCCTCTGGAACCTGGTTCTGGCTATACCCTACCCCCAGTTAACATGCGTTGCTTCTACTTGTAAATGTAAAGTCTTTAAAATAAACTATTACAGATACTTACACTGTGGTGTTTGTTTCCTCATGGACCATCATGAGAATGAGGATCATTTAACAATCAAGTAAACTAGCAGTTCTCAAACTTGGGTGTACACTGGAATTACCTGACATTTAAAAAATATTGCTGCCTGGATCCTACCCTGAGGGATTCTGAATTCTACTCATGTTCAGACAATCTCGATTATAAGTATCCAAGTCCACCACTTTGGATTCTATCACTCCCACAAGCTCCAGTTTTTGATATATTCAAGTTTACATGAGCAACGTAATTCACTAGATTGAAAGTCTCTTAGAACTTGTGACCTCAGAATACCATCCATACTCATTGCCTTCAAGTGGACTCCAACTCACAGCAACCCCACGTAACAGAGCAGGACAGCTCCACAGGGTTTGCTGGGCTGTAATCTTTACGGAAGCAGATCACCACCACTTTCTCCTGTGGAGCAGCTGGGGGGTTCAAACCACTGACCTCTCAGTTAGTAGCTGCGTACTTAACCACTGTGCCTACAGGTGCTTCATATATTGAGGTGAATAGGTATGTCTTAAGACTCATGAGTCAAGATGTCAATTTGTCACAGGGCTGCAGAGCAGTCATCTTTCTGTAAAGAACAAATACAAAGCCTCTTTCATCAGCAAAAGAAAAATGCTTTATGTAAAAACCATGATTTGTAGAGAACAGTCATCGATCTTTATTTGACAAAATCTGCATTATTAAAAGGTAACAAAATCTGAGCATATATTGAATCTGACAACTTAAATTCTAGTATCTAGAATATTACCTAAGAAACATCAATAGAGGAGAAAACAGAATAAAAGCATCACATGCAGGTGCTTTGGAAAAGGGGGCACTGTGTCTGCAGGTGAGGTCCATAGTGTGCATAAAAAAACCCCTAGAGAAATGCCATTAACTTCCTTGGGTGAAGTGCTTTCCCTTTTGTGGGGAGAGGGGTAGGAATCCAAAGGCATATGCAGAATGGCTTCTCCATTTCCAAGTGGTAAGAGGAATACTGCAATCATGGCATTGGGCACCTCAGAGGAAAGGACACCGGAACCAGAGTCGGCTCCTTGCATAATTCTTTAGTCGTATGTACAGTTTTCAAGTACTGGACGGGGCTTACAGAAGCATTTCACTCTAACAGTGGTTATCTATTTTTCTTCTCACTCTCTGGGGCTTGATCCATTTCAGCATCACAGGGACACTTTTCCACACAGTTTCTAGGGAACCATCCCCTTATTCTTGAAACACCTGAGAGAAAAAATGAGATTGATGTACAACAGTTAAATGCACAGCTGTGATGTTACTGGGGCTGAAGTTCTATTACTTCAAATTAATACAATTCTAGACTGTTTTTTTCTTTACTGTCTCTTTTAAGCACAGCCAGAGGGGAAAAAATGTATGGTTCTTAAATGTTTGTAACAAGCTAAAAAAATGGATACTTCTTCAATTCCATAATGTGGGAAAGGGGCTAATGTGACTTGGGATTGGCCCTATGTAGAGATGATAGGAACTTTATATGAGTATTCACTCCTGTGTGTGCTTGTCAAAGGGGGCTTGGCGGTATGTCAGCCCATTTCAACTGTTCCTGGGGAACATCTCCCTGAAGCTTTTGTGAATGTTCTCTTAAAACAGTTTCTAACACATGAATTTCTAGACCAAGATTGCCTAAACTATAATATGGGGTTAACTTATGATTAACTCGATGTATTTTTTAAAGAGCACCTTAAAAAAGGAACAATTCTAAAATAAAAAATCAAAGGCAAAGTTTCAATCCACTGGTTTTTATAATACTTTCAGAGGGTCATTCACACCAAAGGAGAGTGGTACAGCACTGGGGGTGAGAACCTAGGCTTGGGCCAGGCTGTCTGCTGGGAGTTCTGGTTCCATCTCTTTGTAGTGAGGCCCTTGGGCCTGCCGCTCAGCCTCTCTGCACTTCAGCTCTCTCACCAGGACAATGGAAATGACAGCAGTGAGCTCGGAGGGCTCCTGTGGCCTTCAATACTTACATAAATGCCTGCCCCGTACTAAGTATGAGCTCCAGTGTCAGCTACCATTGCAAAGGCCTGATAAATACAAATTCTATGGAGAAATACATGAGCTGGTTCTTGTTTCTTTATGACAGGTCTCTAATATATTTGACATGTGCTGTGCACAAAAGTGGTTCTTGTAGAATATGGAATTGCTAGCAATCCTGCCTTTTAAGAATCCATTTCCGTACCTTCTATAAAAGAATCGTCAAGAATCTTGTCTCCATACAACCAGTATCTGAAATATTTAAAAGATTAAAAATAAATTATTTTCAGGCTAAAAGCCAGTTTTGTCATTAAAGAAGAAATTCAGTACTTCGTATCACTTACCGTAAGCCTCTTGTGGCTAAAATGAACTCCCCCTTCCGTAGCCTTATTCGAGGTTCTTCAGTGCAGGGGCTTGTAAACAAAGTTTTGATGCCTTTACTCAAAGGACAGCAGGCTCCACTATAATCTTCTATGACTTTATAGCGAACCTGTTGTTAGTGATCAGAAGATCAATTTGGGCATTCACTCGTAGTATGTGAGTTTTACATTTTAAATTAAATTTTTAAAGGTAGGTCCACAGCATCCACTGATGTGTCTGCTTCCTTTCTAGTTCCCTTAGGGGAGGCTGTTTCCTGTTCTCAGAACAGGGCTGCCCAACAGAACCTTCTACAGAGATGGATGTGCTCTGTGTTGGTGCTATCCTATGTGGTAACCACGAGACACAAGTGGTCCCTGAGCACTTGACATGTGGTTACTGCAACTGAGCAACTGCAGCTTTAATTTTACTGGATTTATAATAAATTCAAATGTAAAAGTGGCCATCCTATTGGACACTAAGAGTTGTAGAAGATGAGTTTCATACTAACTCTGTATTGTGGATAATTATTTTCCAACGGGGACAATATAAACTGACAAAATGCTCCCTGAATCTCCAGTCCCAACTATTTAAATGAAAACAAAAGTGAAGTGAATTGCAACATTTATATAAACATGCGTTAGACATTACTTAATAAAAGCCAACAATTTGTTTCTATTGCAAGGCAATTAGAAAATCTAAACTGGAGAGCCTGACAAAAGAAAAATGAAAGTACCATCATTGTGAAAGAACACTTACACTTCGGACTCTCTTGTCTGCTTTTTGTTTCAACTGTTCTATCTGTTTGGAAGATATAAAAAGAACAACCAAGTCAATTATTTCACTCTTGAAAAAAACAGGCTTTCCTCATGGACTAGCCGGGTGACAAGACAAACTCCACATTTCCTAGCATTTCAAATTGCTGATAACTAACGGGCACACGTTTCTCAGCAGAGAGGAGGGCCTCTGCCTAAGAATCAGAGCTGAGAGTGGCGCTTTCCTCTCAGCTTCCACTCTCTAATGACTCCTCTGTATTAGGAGCCCCCACTGTGGCCTGGGATCAGGGAGACATGCTCGGCCCTCGTGCAGCTTCTAGCCTAGGAGCAAAGGCAAAGACCCTGGGATTCAGACCAGTTCCTTAGAGACAGGGCAGACCAACTGAAAACTTGTTAAAAACGACTCTTAACTAAAAGTCATCATTCAATTCACTTTTCCATTTATTCAGCAACTAATTTATCAAAGATAGTACTACATTAGATACAGTAGGGAAAATAAGGATATCACATGGTTCCTGTTCTAGAACCTTGTCATGAAAGATATGCTGTGAGAATCACATACAAACATGAGACTGCATGAAGTGATTAAGTGGCCAACCCAGCTGAGTTGAGTGGGTCGGCTGCACTTAATAAAAGAGGTGGGACTGGAACTGGTGCTAACAATTTCAGACAAAGTAGAGGTCGTACGAGGTAGAGAAAACAGGGTGGATAATGTCATGTGGCAGGAATAACAGGTGTTCCCATGACAATGAGTGTGCCATACACCCGTCTGATTAGAAAGGATGATGCCTATTGAAAAATAAGCTGTAAGGGAGTTTCAGGCCACATTTGTAAAATGAAGTTAAGGAATCCAGACTTCATTTCACAGGTATGGAGAGTTAAGGAGCGATTTAAATAAAGGGAGCAACGTGATACAAGGACTGGCTTAGGTTATCAGATTTATTCTGTCATCTTGAAAATTTTTTTATTACATGTTTTACCAGAAAATGTCATCTGGACATGCCAGGAGCTACAGGTGGAAAGGGAGGAAAAATGAAGACGGAGCTGAAAAGAATACTCACTGTTAAGCTGTACTGATGACAGCGTTCTCTTACTGGCCACTCCAGTCCATCTCCTTCAGGCACCCCTGACCATGTGAATACCTGTTTAAAGTTCTTCCACCTGCTTCCCAAATCATAAGGAAAAACAAAGACTTCATCCAGTTGATAGTACTGAATTCGATCTCTAGCCTGTGGACAACAGAGATAGAAGATGGCAAATGCCGTGGTCTTAAGTGACTTGCATCATCCAGAAAATGTCTGACAGGGCATGTTTAGGAATGAACATTCCAGAATTCTTATAAAAACTGCTAACTCTACTCCACGGATAAAAACAATCCTTGATGCTCTCGGGTATTCAGCAGCACAAGAGTCCGGTTCAAAGAAGGGATGTTGGAAATAAGCAGATTTACGAGAAAGCCAAGGTGTATCTAGCCGGGAACTGCTTCCCGGGGGGCACTTGAAGGTACTGGTTACATGCTAGGTAGCAAGGACACATGGGGAACAGCCAGGAGAGGTGTGAAAGCACAGTCACTGCTTTATAGAAAAGATTTTTTAGCAGGTATGTTTAGGAGACTTTTTAGAGAAAAAAAAAATCACCACACATGTATATATACTCATTCATATGTGCACTTACTTGTACACATTATACATATAGTTAAATATTCAGGCTGCATAAATTATACCTGTTGTTGTTGTTGTTATGTGCCCTCGAGTCAGCCCTGACTCACAGCGACCCCTCCTTGGGTTTCCGAGGCAGTATCACTACGGAAGTAGGATTGCCCAACCTTCCTTCCGAGGAGTGGCTAGTGGGTTTGAACCGCCAGCCGTCTGGTTAGCAGTCAAGTGCCTTAGCCACTACGCTACCAGATTATACCTAGGCGTTAAAATTGTTACCTAGTTAACTCATGGAAATAAACTGGCTTCAAATTTCTTAAGTTCTGCTGACATCTAGTGGTATAAACACACATTATGTATTTCTACAAAACATGTTACAAATCTAGTTGAAATCTGTTGTAAAAATCTTTAGTGTCTAATAATTTCTATAAATTTAATATGACCATTTATTTGAATTTCTTTACTTAGTAACAATGCTAAATTTAAAATAACTTCTAGATTTCACATGGCATTTTACAGTCGTGCTCTTCAGCAAAACAAAAATGTTAATCTAATGTCAATATTTTATGCTAATTAGAAATGATACATTGAAATATTTTATTATCAGGGGACAATATTTTGGGGAAAGTTTCCTACAATTATTTATAAAGTGATATTAACTGTAAAAAGAATTGACAAGCTGTAACATGTATGAATCTATTAAACTGTGTAACTCCATACCCACACCCAGAGTGAAGGTTACTTTCTTTTCACATTTCATAAAACAAAAAGCTTCAGAGTCTTCATAATAGAGTAAGCGTCTCAGAGAACAGAGATCCAGGCTATTAGAATGGGAAACTGGTGAGGGTGAAAGTAGTTTATAAAAACAACATAGTCTTTGCCTAAGAGGAGACTCTGAAGCTGGGAGGATTCTGTCAATATTATGTGGTAAGTATTGACAGAATAAGTATAAGAGGTGACAATGTGCAGAGGGTGCTATGGGAGGGAAAAAGGGAATAGCAGTACTTAACCTAGCCTAAGGAAGGTCAAGGAAGGCTCCTTGGAAGAAATGATACCAAAACTAAGTCCCGAGGGACAAGAAATTAGGCAAAAAGAGAGTCTTCTAGATAGAGGGAACAACATGTGCAAAGATACAACAGTATAAAATGTACAAACTAGGAGCAGTTTGGTATTACTCAGTGGAGGCTGTGAGGTCTACAACAGGCTCAGTGTGATAAGCCTTATCTGATGTCTCAAGTACTAAGAAAAACTTAGTACTTTACTGATGGTAGAAAGGATGAAAGTTCCTTTCCCAAGGGGCCACCGCATCGTGCAGGCTGAGAGAGATGGTTTAATATGTAGTTTAACCTCTTGAGCAACACAGGCTGTATGAGAAGCATTATTTCTGCAGCAGTTATGTTAAACTGGGCATGACGCAAAATGTGGCAAATAACTTAAGGAAGGCATTTGGTAGCCAAGTTTTCACTTTGGGACATTATTAGTGAATCTGATCCGTTAATTAATTGATACTATGTTCATACTGAGGAACAAATGATTAAAATTTACCTTCTCTTCAATCCATGATTCAATAGAAGTTTTGTTTCTGAGAATTATTTTCATCTGGAAATTAAATGATAGAAAAATTTTTAAATGTGGCTTCAGTTCGTTAAACATTATCATTTTCATAATAACCCAAGACAGAGTTTTTGTTGCTCCATTCCATAATTAAGACGTAACAGAGGCTTAGTAACCTAGCTAGAAAGTAGTGAAGCTGGGATACAAACTCAGGCCCATCTAAGGCTTGCTCTTCCCCACAATGCCTCTGCAGAATAGCGATTACACCATCCACAAACAAATCAGAATCTACTACTTGAATCAAAATGCATGTTTCAAATAATATTTCTGAACCATTTTCTGACAACAGTAATAAAACAATGATATAATTAGTATTTACTGTGTTTTGCTATTAAAACCTCTCTATTTTTAATTAACCTTCAGTTTATGACTTATCTATTACAAAGAGCAGTGACTCATTCCAATCAACCTAGATATTCTAGGCACTGCCTGTTTGCCTTCAATAGTAAACTGTATTCATTTGCATTCAACTATTCAATGTTTCAAGTAATTTTTACTTATGTAGACCCTTATACCACAGGATCTTAGTTTATTTCTAATATAATTCTTAATTATAGGCACAGGGAAAAAGTTCTTTAAGAATTCATTCCCAGACTAGTAGAAAACATAAACCTAACTCAAACCAGCTTATTTTAAAATGAAGAGTTCAGAAAGTGCTGGGTGCTACAGCCCACCATTCTTAACTCTGAGTGTACTGCATTTCCTTGACGTGTGGCTACGCCGTCATAGAGACAGGGTGAGACAGTGAAAGCAGCCCTGGACTAGGAGTCCTCTTCATAGTCCAAAGGCCTAGCGCTCTGCCTGGCCCACAGCAGGCCTTCAAGGAATGATGACAGAAATTGAGAGAAAAAATGAATCAAAAGGATAAGAATGGTCCCTTCAGAGGTATCTTCTTTCCTTTTGTTCTCATAGTACTTTACAACACCCCCATAATATAGAAAGAGCCCTGGTGGTACAGTGGTTAAATGCTCAGCTGTGAACTGAAAGGTCAAACCCACCAACCCCTCTGCGGGAGAGAGACAAGGCAGTCTGCTCCTTAACGATTTACAGAGTTGGGAACTCTATGGGATAGTCTCCTCTGTCCTAGGGTTGCTATTAGTCAGAACTCTGCTAAAAGGCAATGGATACCTGTATCCATTTACTACTAATTATGAGTTACCTCAGGGCAAGAACCTCTTCATTTTCATTATTGTAGCCTCAGGAAATAGTAATTCATCCCATTGAAATAGCACCTTTGTGGTAGGATTGTTGTGGAGATTAAATGAGCTAATACATGACAAGCATCTAAAATAGTGCCTTGCACATAAGTACTCAATAATAATAATAATAATAATTGATAGCTGAATACATAAATGTGTCACCTTGGGTAAGTCACTTAACCTTTCTGAGAAGTGATTGCCCCTAAGTAGGAAGGGAAAACAATCATAGGCCTTTACCAATCTCTTTTGGGGGTTGATGTGAAGATCAAGAGAAATGGTGAACATGGGACAAGCATTCTCAATTATAAAGTACTACCAAAAAACCCAAACTCATCACCGTCGAGTTGGATGGACTCATAGCGACCCCTCCTTGGGTTTGTGAGGCAATATCACTATGGAAGCAGATTGCCCAGTCTTCCTTCTGAGGAGTGGCGGTGGGTTTGAACCACCAGCCTTCTGGTTAGCAGTCAAATGCCTTAGGAACTACGCCACCAGAGCTATAAAGTACTAGATAAGTGTAAAGTAACAATTTAAAATTAAATCAATTAACTAGAAATTCTGGCAAATTAATCCAATTATCTGACTAGCATAAAGAAGACTGAATTAATTACGTAGACAGAACAAACACACATAATTTCCACTTCACACTGAACACTTAAATAGACTCTTTGTCTCTTTCTTTTTACAATCAGCCCCAGTAACTTAACAGCTTTTAGCCAGAGGTAACTGAGAAACTTACCTGAATAAAAAACAGCATGCCCACAGCGATGGTTGTTCCTATAGCTAATCCCAAGGCAAACAAGGTGGCAGCAAATGCAGCTAATCCAAAAGGAACAATGGGAAGAGGGTCTCTCCGGGCTGCACTCATGTCAATCCTTACCGTGTTCCACCCAAAGGAGAGCTGTAAACACAACACCACAAATGAAACACTTGGTGGTGGTAACCTTCACTCTACTGAATGTTTAAAACAGAGTTGGCCAGAAAAACGATGACCACCTGACACCATGGCCAAAGCTCGTGCAGCCAACAGGGCTGGTTCTAGGGAACACGGCACTTGTGCTCCCACTGATGGGCATCAGTCTGAGTCCCCTCAAATGTTAACCTTGTTTTTCCTTCTCTCAGAAAGGGTCAGGCAGGCCCCCCACATTAACATTTGTAAGAACAGTACACAGTGTTGCTACCACTCCAGACTGGTAGCTCCCATCTTCTCCTTGCTTCTCTACATTTACTGCATTCTCCCACAGCTACGAATGTAGCCTAGGATTCAGGTGTTTCTCCTCTCATGTTCCACAACCAGAAGCTAAGAAGTGGCAGAATGAGGGCCAGGAGGGACTTTACATGTGTATTGTCTAGACTGCATAATGTTTTGAAATAGTTAAGAGTTGATGCCAACATTTAAAAATCTGGAAATTTCACATAAACACCCAGATTTTTAGATTTTTTTTGAAAAATTAGCATCACTGGGCCAATGCATTTTCTTAAAGAACACCAAACACCAAAACCTGGCTAAAGGTGTCACCCCTCTGAAGAATGTGTGTGTGCTCATCATAGTTCCATTATGTCTACATCCTTTATTTATCTTTTAGGCTTCTTTAGGGACTTGAATGTGTGACCTTTGAACTTTACCTCATGACCACTTGCCCTTAAGTCAACTCAATCTCCTGCTGATTTAATCTGTTTACATTCTAAAGTAAGGACCTGTCCCACAGTCACCCTCCAGGTTACAGAGTTAGACATGAACAAACAGAACTACAACTGGCCACATGACATGGATGGGGAGAGAAAGCACTGATACTGTCACCGTCATCATCTTTTTTTGTTTTTTGTTTTTTGCTCTAACTATTCTTACCACAATTACTAGGTTTGAAATCTAATAAATTATATATAATTGTATATATAACAGACTATACATACATGTCTCTCTAGATGTGAATATATTTATATTATAAAATACATATATTATAACATATATAATACATATATTATAATATATGTATTAAATAACATAGAACATTATACATCATATATAATAAAACCCACCAGCCACTCCTCGGAAGGAAGGTTGGGCAATCTACTTCCATAGTGATGCCGCTTTGGAAACCCAAGAAGGGGTCGTCGCCATGAGTCGGCTCCGACTCCACGGCAGTGAGTTTGGTTTGGTTGGATATATATTATATACATATAATCAGTACTAAAATAATTTCTTAACTTCAACTCTTGTACATAAGGTGAGTTTCCAAAAATATTGCTGTTGAGCTGATTTCAACTCATGGAGACCTCATATGTGTCAGAGTAGAAACGTGCTCCACTGGGTAAGATTCCAGAGCAAAAATCTTTCCTCACCGTAAAGATTAAGTTTTAAAGCTTTTTATGAAGGAACCACATAGAGATAAAGCAAAGTTCTCTTTCCCCACCTAAATCACACAGAGTATTTCCAAAAGGAATTTTATAAACAATCTTGGTAACTAGCAGTTAATCTGGCATGGATAATTTTATAACAAGTATTTTCACTTACCCGATTATAAAGCTGTGTGTACATAGTCATAACGAAAATCAAAGCAGCATGAATACAACCCAGTGGTGCTAAAAGGAGAAAAAGTGTGAATGAAGCATGATTTTGGTGGCCACAACAGTTGTTGATCCAAGGACAGTGATGGTCCATCTTCATCACACACCTAACAAGTAAAATTTAGAGAAAACATGAGAGCCGATTCCTGTCTACTGTAAACAACTTTGTTCTTCCAAACATCAAGCAAATAGGAACCAATGTGTCACAGAGGAGTGAAGTATCTTTTTAAAAAATTATGAACAGTGGCTTCTTTTAAGTTCTAAACAGCACAAGAAAGGGTGGGCTTTGAAACAGTTGTTTTTTTTTAAAATTGTGATTTAGGTGAAGATTTACAGAGCAAATTCACTTTCCATACAGCAGTTCACCTACACTGTCTCAAGACATTGACCACAGTTTACCACAATGCAACAGCTCCCCTCCCACTTCCTCTCCATAGTTACCTCTTCCCAGTGTCCATCTCTCCATGCACCCCTGCCCCCTGAGCTGTCTCCCTGTGCATAAGCAGCCCTTCTTTCTCCCATGATTGTTCTCTCCAGGGAGTGCATCTACCTGAGGTAAATGTTGAAATAGCTTTTGAGGACACCTGCTGCAAGCGGCCTTGTTTTAAAAAGTCAGGAGGGTTGTTATAAAGGCAGGAGAGCGGCTCCTGGTTTTGCTAGCTCTGAAAGTCAGTGACTGGAGTGGAGGACAACAGACTTAAGAAAATCGCTCATAAATCGTCACTCGCTGATGGGCTCAAACAGAAGCTTATAACTTCCTTCCTTGCTGTTTTCACAGCCAGCTTTAAATGTGGAATCTTTGGGCTTAGCAACCTAACTCAGGAATGTTATAGGTGACATAATAACAAACTTTTACCATGTTGCCTTTCCTTATTGTTACTAGAAGACACCTTTCTGGTCTCAACTCAAACTTTACTTGCCTCCAATGTTGTTGTTGTTGTTATGTGCCGTCGAGTTGGACCCGACTCATAGCGAACCCTCCTTGGGTTTCCAAGGCAAAGGTTGGGCAATCCTACTTCCGTAGTGATACTGCCTCGGAAACCCAAGGAGGGGTCGCTATGA